GTTTTCAATAACTATGATCATGCTATTATTTATATCTGTAATTACCAATGCTGGTTTCTCTTATACGAACTTATCGACTGATGTATCAAGAATTCCTTACGAGTATAGATTAAGACATAAAAGTTTTTGGGAATATAATTACATTATTGAAGGTTACCCAACTGAATTTAACGGTGATGCTAATTCTTTTAGCTCGTTTAAAGACAGTCAACCCAAGTTCATAAAATATGCTGAAGTAGAAGTTCCTTATTGGCTATATGGAAATTTTAATGTTATAGAATTTAGGCGTAAACAAAACGGTTCTCTATTCCCCGTTTCAACTGTGAACTCTAGGATCGATAATTATATTACAAATGAAATAGACATTGTATTCACTGCGTCTGATGTTGATGCTTCAAAATTAGAATCTTGTGAATATCGAATTTCTTGGACTTGGTTACTCAGTGGTTGTATTTGGAGACTATGTGAAAATTTAAACGAAACGGATTTCCAACAAGTTTCTCTTTTTGTCGGACATCCTGCCGTGGGTTTGACTTTTTTGTCTGTGGACGAGACGATTAGTTACGGTTATAGCACTAAAGCTTCTTTGGAATCTGTATGAGAGGTATTTACTGAATTATCTTTATTATCCTTATTTTTGTGCTTTAGATTGTTATATCAATATTCTAAAACTTTCGGTAACTTGTTCAAAATATAGAGATATATTCATTGAACAGGATGCTCCGTTTCCCCCAATCATACCCGCTCTGTACACTGCTTATTATAATTACTTGGATTATATGAGGCAAAGAAATAATAGACGTGATGATATAAAAATTAGATAATCTCAATTTTTATCGCCAACGTTATTTGGTCTATTGATTGTTAAGTACGCAAAAATCTGTGATTAAATTACTTATACGCCAATATTTAGTCGAATTTTATATATATTGAATTGTCAATATTTTGTATAAGTGAACTTACTGTAGTCACTACAATGCGTACAATTTGGCCGCAGTTGAGGGGATATATGATATGGTTGGGCGAAATATAAAAGGATACAAATGGTATTTCTTGGAACGAGATTAATGACCTATGTTCTAGACATGTTATTATGAATCATATAGTATAATAAATTGATGTTATACTTGTTCAACAACAATTTGAGTAAAGATTGAGAATGAGAACCTAGGTTAATAAAGCAATATACGATATAAGTGACGAAAATAATATTTATGTACCATCACTCTTTGAAGACTACATACACTCTTTGAAGACTACATACACTCTTTGAAAACTACACTCTTTGAAAACTACATTCTTTGAAAACTACACTCTTTAAAAATACAAACTTTGCGAAATTCTTCTACCTTCTATACGCACTTGTCTATTTTCTCAATATTTGCCATTTTTTAATTTGTAAATTTAAATTAATTGATGATTCACGAATAAATGAGAACGGGTATAGGCGAGTTTTTATAATAAAATATAATATTACAAAAATCAACTTTCCTATAATTTTATGATTTTAAATTGCCATTAGAATCGCAAAACCTAGTCTACAACCTTTATTAAAAGTTCAAAGAAGGTTAGCTTAATAAAAAATTGGATTTATATTGTAGGAAAAGTTTTAGATTATATATTGTTAATATAAGAACTTACTATTGAATTTACTATTGACGTTCTCATTTATTCGTGGATTACCTATTAAATTTAAATCATAGTAATTAATACTGTTTTTAAAATATTGTACGCAAATCAAAATTATATGGATAGAACAGAATTATTGTTGCTTTTAATTAATTTTTGTTACTATTAAAGTAAGAATCACAATTATTATGGATAATAATAATTATATTACTTAACATGTTGAATGACAAGAAATATGAAAATAAAAATTACGCTAGTAATCAAAAATAAGTATTCTTACATATCAAGAGATTTTACGAATTTAATTTCACCAGCATCCTTAATCAATACTATGCTAAAGAAATATCATAGAGACCTTCATTCAAATTAACTAAAACAACCTTTAAAAGCTTAGATGATATGTAATTTAAACATATTATGGCGAATTGAACTTATTATTACAAAGGAAACAGGATTTTTTTCTACTAATAAATCGAACCGATTTGATTAACTTTTCATTAATTGACTTTCATATTATACGTCTTGTCGCAGAAAATTTATATTCTGCACCAAAACGTATAATTTGAAAATCGTTTAATGAAAAGTTAATCAAAATCGCTTTAAAATTTGAAAGTATCTAAAAAAAAATGGCTCTTTCAATAATTTTACTTAGTGAATGCAATTATTATTCTATTTGTGTAAAACGATTATTATAAAGAAAATTGATGTAACATTAAGTATTATGATAACATTCATATACAAAAATCATGCTCATTCACATATTCATATTGATATATCTTTTTTTCCTTCGCTAACACCACAAGCATAATCAAATTTTTTCTTTATCTGTCCAGCTAGATAGCAAATCTACCATAACTTTCTCCATAAATCCATTGTTTTCTTGGCAATTTTTTTTTTCAGAAATCAATTGTTAACCTACCTAGTCCAATATAAAACGGTAATTTATGTTAAATGTACGTAGCATAAACGTGATTTGCAGCAGACAACTGTGAATTAAATTTGCAGACAACTGTGAATTAGATTTGCAAACAACTGTGAATTAGATTTGCAAATACTGTGAAATTAGATTTGAAGCCATAGTCCAAGGATTATCATGAATATGTAACACTAACAGCAAAGGCTTCTTGTTTGTATTCCACCAAAGAATCAAATTTCCTGGCTGTAAGTGTAAAGTAACAGATTATATCTAAATAATCTCCGGATTTAATTGCTAAAGAAAAAACTTGTGCTAACGCATATTTTTGTTAATTTTGGATGAGAATCAAATAAATGATTAATGGATTCTATATACAGCCGACCTTCATAAATGCATCCCCTCAGGATCACAGTAAAAAAAAATTGAAATGTGCATTTAAAGAGGGTACATATTTATAGAAAGCAAAACGTATAGGATTCTTATGACAAGTTATGCAATGCATTTACTGTATAGAGAAGTTACATAAAGCATGCATTTATAGAGTATATATTTATGGAGGTACTGTAACTCTAAGTATCTATTTTATCAGTTAGGTAAAGATATTAATAAAGTTTTTGAAGTATTATTTTGGCAAGGATCTAGGACTTGGGTGTGAACAACCCAAGTTGTAATTGTTTAGTCATGTATAATTGTAGGTATTTTATATTATTACCTGAAAAATTATATCAATTTACGTTTAAATCAAGGGAAATAGCGAATTAAATCTGCTAATTAAAAGTTCCAAATTTCATTTAAAAAATTTCTTAATTTTTTTCACAAACTTGAGACGCAACATCTAACAAGTCACATTTATTAAAAAGTGTAATAAAATACAGTCGTCCTCATTAATATCAACCCTGTTAATATCAACCTAGGGTATAAAATGAATTTCTATATGTTAAATGAAATTAAAATTCCCTCCTATATATCAACTTTAATATGTTCCCTCATTAATATCACTATCAACATGAATATAAAAGCGATCCAAATAGGTTGATATTGATGAGGGACGACTGTAATTAGATAGTATCTATAAAATTATCTATTATATTATTTCGAAAATTTTATTGAATTAAAAATTTATACTAAACCGTAAATATTTATTGCATTGGAGTCTTTATAAAAGTTAAACTATGACTTAAATGATTATCAATTTGCTAATAAACACTCGGTAAAACTTCATTGAATAGCAGTCTAGACTTTTTTTTGAACTCTAAAATACTATATTAAATTTTCTAATCAAATAGACTTTGATTTATAATCAAAGCCTAATATTTATTATGTTAGAAAAATATTTAAAGAATGGAGTAAAAATACGAATATTTAGGATACATATGAAGTTGAAAATAATCATTAAAACAGATAAAATATTTAAATTGCTAACTATCTTACAAAAAACATCCTAATTTACGTATATTGCAAAACTGCCAACACTCAACTATTTATCTTCGGCTGATCTTAAATACTCTTCAAAAAGTTGTGCAAATAATTGTAAATATTTATCTTCATCGTCCTCATCAGATTTTTCATCTTTAGAAGTATTTATGCTCTCTTGCTGATAATTAGCATTATTTATTTGTTCTTCAGAATTCACACTTTCGGCAGGTCTTAAATACCATTCAGCCATCTTTATATTTTTTAAAAGTTGTCCATTAGGATCACCACCGTCGGCAGATTTTGAATACCATTCAAATGCCTTCCTTTCATCTTTGGCAGTACCTATGCCTTTTTCGTAGCATAATCCAACATTGAGTCTCCCATTAGGATTTCCACTTTCAGCTGATTTTAGAAACCATTCAAATCCCTTCTTTTCATCTTTAGAAGTACCTGTGCCATTTATATAACAAGTTCCAACATTTAATTGTCCACTAGCATGTCCGCCTTCAGCAGACTTTAAATACCATTTAAATGCCATCTTTTCATCTTCAGTAATGCCTAAGCCTTTTCGATAACACTGTCCAACATTGAATTGTCCACTAGGATCACCTCCTTCGGCAGATTTTAAATACCATACAAATGCCTTTTTTTCATCTTTAGGAACACCCAAGCCTTCATTATAGCAACATCCAACATTGAATTGCCCTGCAGATTCTCCACATTCAGCAGATTTTAAGAACCATTCATATGCCTTTTTTCCATCTTTAGAAACACCTATGCCACATCGGTAACAAAGTCCAACAGCAAATTGTCCTTTAGAATTTCCTTTTTCAGCAGATTTCCAACTCCATTCAAATGCCTTCTTCTCATCTCTAGAAATACCTGTACCTTCATCATAGCAAATTCCAACTGCAAGTTGTCCGTCAGAATTACCGTTTTCAGCAGACTTTAAGTACCATTCAAATGCCTTCTTTTCATCTTTAGAAATACCTATACCTTCATTATATAAAAATCCTACTGCATATTGTCCACGAGAATTTCCACCTTTGGCGGATTTTAAATACCATTCGAATGCTTTCTTTTCGTCTTTAGAGGTACCTACGCCATTTAAATAACAATTTCCAACATTTAATTGTCCGTTGGAATGTCCACCCTCAGCAGCTTTTAAATACCATTCAAATGCTTTCTTTTCATCTTTAGAAACATGTGCACCATTTGCATAGTAAACTGCAACTGAAACTTGCCCATCGGTATTTCCATTTTCAGCAGATTTTAAATACCACTCAAATGCCTTTTTTTCGTCTGTAGAAGTACCTATGCCATTTAGAAAACAATTTCCAACACTTAATTGTCCACTGGAACGTCCACCTTCAGCAGATTTTAAATACCATTCAAATGCCTTCTTTTCGTCTTTAGAAACACCTATGGCTTTATCGTAACAAAGCCCAACCGCATAATATCCTTTAGGATCTTCACTTTTGGCACATTTAAAAAACCATTCAAATGCCTTCTTTTCATCTTTAGAAATGCCTATACCTTCACTATATAACATTCCTACTCCATATTGCCCACTAGAATTTCCACCTTGGGCGGATTTTAAAAGCCATTCGAATGCCTTCTTTTCATTTTTAGAAATACCT